TTTCCCTTCATCTCAGCTTTCCCATCCCTTCTGTGTTTCCTCTGTGGGTCACTGAGGCGACTTCTGTCTCTCCTCCTAAGACCTGTCATTGTCTTCATCTCCTCTCAGCTTAGTGGTTCTAGGAACCAACTGCCCTTTGCACTATTGAAAGCAATATTGTGCACTGGGCAGATCTGTAGACTTTCTGAGTCTCAGTTCTTTCATTTATTAAAAATAATTGTAGATACTGCCTGCCCTACCTTCCTCATAAGTTTGCTTACTGCACAAATGAAATAATGGCTTTGAAATTTCCCTTAAGAATACCTGAGGGCTTAATGCTCTCCTCCTCTAAGCGAAAGATACCGCAATATTTTTAAATATAATTTTACATATCTCTAATGTCTTATCAGAGGATAAATGTGGAGTGATGCATTGCCTATAGAGATTAATGAAGCATTTGTTTCCTCCATCTGATAATCTTTCCAAAGTGTTTTGAAGTAAAAGCTTACAACATTAGATTGTATTTTTTAGTATTAAACTTCTTACGTTGATAATGTTGTTGTATTTGGGGGGATTTTTAAATTCCCAAGTACCTAAAAACATGTAGGTAATAACTGTGTATGTGTGCTACAAACAAATAGAGCCATTAGCTTATTACTTTATGGTTAAAAATACATATGGCTCTAGTAGGCAAGAAATTCCTTTTGATAGCGTAACGTGCCATGCTGAGCCATAGCATCTCAGCCCTTTAACAACCCTGCGTGACATTCCTACCTCAGATCCTTGATGACGGACAGTCTCCCAAACACAGTCAGTGTCAGAATCGGGCCGTTCCTGAATGGAGTGTGCAGCAGGTCTCTCACTGGCTAATGAGCCTAAGTCTGGAGCAGTATGTATCTGAATTCAGTGCCCAGAACATCACTGGAGAGCAGCTCCTGCAGTTGGATGGAAATAAACTTAAGGTAAAGAATTATATGTCTATGTTAGGTTATCAGGTATAATTTGTATTACTCATAGCGCCTAACATGTTTTCATTAGATAAGAGCATTCTGCATATCTGAGAGGTCATCCTTGTCAACAGTCAGCAGAAAGGACGTTGAATTATTTCCCAGTAGTAAATGAAGTTTCGGAAAGTCATCAGGGGTTTAAATAGTAGGCTGCTGGGGAGAGCCAGTGATTCACTCCACTGCTTCCACCTGACAACACATGGTCCATGTATTAACTCTACTTACTTCCTATGTAGTGTGAGTTTTAATAATGGCCAATGTGGATTGTTTCATCACATTAGAGTTAAAACCCAAATCCCATGTATCTTCCCTTCTTTATTCCTTTCTCCCCCACTCCCACTCTTCCCTGCACACCACTCTAAAACTGAGATGATGTTTTGCCCAGAACTTTATTCTCCAAATATGTGCAGACCATGTCGTCCCTCTCCCTCCATCATATTCTCATTTTCACCAGTCCAGTTCACCTGTTTTAGAGACTGAGGTGGCACCCATCCCTGTGGAAAGAGGGCAGACAGCTTACAGCCAGCTCTCCACCCTCAAGCTAAGCCCCCTGCTGGGCTAACTGGCAGATGAGTATCTCTTGACAGTCTTGAAAAGGTTAGAGATCAATCAACAGCCTGTGAATATGAAGGCCCCATTGACAAGGCTGTCCCTGATAGGGAGATGGATGCAACTTGCTGTTGATTCTGAAGGTCATGAAACATTTAACTAACTCCTCTTATTCTGAATTCCAAGCTCATTGAGCAACTTTCTCATTATAATCAAGCTTCCTTTATAGGTCTGCCTACAGGGAGAGAATGGCTAGCCATGCTGACATGGGCATTTGGTCCCAAAGACATTTGTGGTCCTCATTGTAATTGAATACTTTGGCAGAAAGGAAGCCATGTCAATTCCTCCTGCCCTTCTTGGGGCCCTCTGTGGCAGTGGGTGCCCAGTCCTATCTTTCGAATATATTGATGAGTTTAGCAATACTTTTGCCTAGAAATTTCTACAGCCTACAGGTTAGAGAAGCAGAATCATGCCCTTTTTTCATTCACTCACTCATTAATTACCAGTTTGGAAAGCATTTACTTAATGAGGTTTAAAGTGTACGGTGCTAGGAACTTCAAAGAGCAAAAGAACAAATAAAGCTTAGTCCCCCAGTATGTAGATATTTTGGCAAATGTATCAGATCTTCCTCAGTTTTTACCTTTTCGGTGATGCTTAAATTAGTTTTTGAGCTTATACATATTGTGATATCGACCGCATCATAAGCAGAGAGGTCTTTGGTTTTCAAACTCAGTTTGTCTACATGTTTCCTTCTTAGGCTCTTGGAATGACATCATCCCAGGACCGAGCAGTGGTCAAAAAAAAACTCAAGGAAATGAAGGTGTCACTAGAGAAGGCTCGGAAGGCTCAAGAGAAAATGGAAAAACAAAGAGAAAAGCTGAGGAGGAAGGAACAAGAGCAAATGCAGAGGAAGTCGAAGAAAACGGAAAAGATGACAGCTGCAGTGGAGGGTGCTGGTGAGCCGTAGCGGAGGGTGGGGACGTTCAAGAGACATCTCCATCTCTTCCTGCCCTGCTCTCCTCCGGAAGATGAAGAAGAAACTGATGACAGGGGTAATGTGCTCTAGGCAGATTGGGGAACTGTGTGTTGAATAACTGCATTTTCTACAATAATAGAATACACTCTTCATTTTAACCTACTGAAATAATCCCAAGCCACCTTTAGTTTATTAACAAACCAAGGACATGATTTGTGAGAGATGCAAAGCAGCTATGTTTCTTCTCTCTTCTCTCACTTACCAACATCTCGTATTGTGTTCGGTGGGTTGAGCCACTTGGAGAACCAGCATGACGCTGCCCGACAGGAGCGTGACATGCCCCAGTGTTGTTAATGTGGTGCCGTGAATTTTCAGTGTGGGATCCTGACACGGGCAGTCGCACATTATCACCATGGCGGAGAGCACCACTCTGCCGTGAGATCTGGGCTGCAGAATCTCCTCCAGTGTGTGGGGAAAGTTCCCCCTTGTTTCTGTGTCTGGACAGTGGCACAGCCCCACTGTGGAAATGTGGGTGCCCTGCCCCATGATTACCTGCTATGGCAAGAAAGCAAGCAAACCGTTCTGCTTGCTGGGCATCTGAAAGAGAGAAAAGAGTTATGGTTGTTTGTTAACCCCAGAAGGAAGCAAAAGCCTTATGAATGTGGATGTGAGTATTACCTTGGGATTCTGAGAGTAACATTTATCTTCCAGATTTAGCCAAACAAAGAAAAAAAGTCAGACATTAATGCAGCCATGGGGTACTGGGATCTGTTGTTTACTTTGCTACCGCTGCGTGTTCAGTATTTCAGCAACACTAATACACACAACACAATTCCTTTCCTTTTTTCCCCAACAAATTGAACAGGAAATTGATTTTTAAGGAAGCGAACATTTTCTGGTTTCTTCTCCTGAGGAACATTCTGGCTAGTCTTTGGCATGACCATGACACAGTCAGGAACTCATCATATATTTTCTACTCAAGATTTCCCAAGTGGGCACAGTAAGCATTTTAACAAATGTCCTTTTAAGAAAAATTGAAATACCAGTTTGAGAAAATTTAGATTTAACATTCGACCAGGGAAGCCATTTTATTGAGCACATAGAATGTTGCCATAAAGGAGAGCTGTCCGTTACATTTTAGAGATGCTTCGAGTAGTTATTCTGAGCCAGTCTCTTCCATTCTTTAGAGATTGCCTCTTGACACTTAAAGTTTAAGATGGTGCATAGGGTGCAGTCTAGCAGTTATGTGTATTTTAAAGCCAATATTAAGGATTTCAGTATTTCATCAAACTAATTCAAGTACAGGAGACTGGGGCAGAGGAGGACAAAATAAACCCGTCTTGAGAAATTTCAAACCATGGATTGGTTTTGGTTGTTGTTTTGCTCTTTATGCTCATGCATCTGGTTCTCCTTGTTGCATTGGCTCTAAAAATGAGGTCATCCACTTTCCAAGGGACGAGTTTCACAATGAGAGTTGAGGACAGACAGATTCTTGGACAAATGTTTTACTTCCGGAAAGACTACATGGGTCATCTCCGTCCATACCTTCCACTGGAAACATCACATACGCAGCACTTCGTGGGGCAGCTTTTGGAGGTTACAGGTAGCAGACAGTGGAAAGGGGCTCCCGCCCTTATAGCTCCATCTCTATTTAGAACATTGTTTTTTTTTGTTTTTTGGTTTTTCGCTTGTCTCGATATTCAAAATCTGGAATCGTCTCAAGTAGAAATTTATCATCCTGTTCCTTCCCTAAGGCCTGTTTCCTCTTCCGTGACAAGGTATTATCTGTTAAGCTTCAGTCCTTTTGTCACTAGGTACAGACCATTCGTTCAGTCCTCAGAAAAACTAACATAAAGTAACATTGTGTTTTACAATTATCAGAGTCACCATGTATGTTTTCCTGTCTATTTTCATTTAAGGTATGATGATGGAACTGCCATCCTGGATACTCTCTTAATATTTTGAGATGTGTGGTGCTTTGCTGTTTATTAATATCATGAGAAACAAGGAACCACTATTAATGAACTATAAAATCCAGCAAATCTTTTCTAATACTCAAAAGCTAAATTAGTCAAAATCCAGTAATACCAGTGCTTGCTATTGTAAATTTTTTGCCATTTTTGGTTATCTTTGAAAAAAAAAAATGATCTGGATCACACTGGAAATTTAACTGTATTCATTTTAAGAGTGGAAATAGGAGGATGGTTATCTTAAGTTATGTTTACACTTTGGTAATATTTGAAAATGGATGTATATACTGGAAATGTCTGTAAGTCTCAGTCTCTGCACATAATTTATGATCTATTATATTACATTTTCTTAACTATCTTAGAAGCATTATCCTTTGTTTTAAATTTATTCGTACACTTCCAATATTTAGGTAAATGACCAACTGACAATATTATTAATCAAATTGTTATTATTCCTCAAATCATTTAGTTTGTGTTATAACAATTTTGATTTTTTAAGTTATAGTAATTTTAGTTCTTAATGAGTTATTTTTAACATTACTACTTAAAACTGCTGAAATTATAAGAGGCACTTGATTTGATTGTCCAACAAAGGATAAAATGTAAACTGATTATAAAAGAGTATGAAAACAAAATGAAGCACCTCAGATCTGTGAGCATTTTGTTTTCCTATTATTATTTTTTTAACTGACAGTAGTGCATGATATCTAATCGGGGTCCCAGTGTCTTATATAATTCCTACCTAATGCTAATGATTTTCAGTGTCCATACGATTTAACACAGAATTGTTGCTTCATGAACATTAAGACTTTGCAGTTTTTTATTTATCAGAAAATGAATCAAAAGGGGAATATGCAGTTAGTGTGAACTATATTCCCTAAACAACAGCTCTGTATGACTCTAACAATAGCCAAAAGTGTTTTGGGGTATAGGTAATGCTTTGGGGGACAGGGGATGTGTGGCGAGGCCAAGCTGTGGCTAGAGAGCATTGTATGAGCTGAGTTTTCCATGAAAGGACTTAAGTTTTATAACAGAATGACATTATTTAAGACTATCTCCCTTAAAGTAACTCATAGTTTATGTAATAGTTTTATTATTCTTTTTTTGCTTGAACTTTGCAGAAGTTACTTCCGAGTGATTTATGTTAGGGCCGAATTTTGCCCATTCTAACACACTAGTTGAGCCTACCTTAAGTTTCATGACAGTAAAGCTATTCTGTGCTACCTGGGGTTGACATGGATTTAGCTGAGGTTGACATGATTTCCCACCTTCAATATCACATATGCATTTTTAACCCATGACAGTTCACTGTTACAGTATGATGGGTGCTAATGCCAGACTCAGCTTTTAAAGGGCATGAAATGGGAACACTTATCTGGTGCTCCTTTGTTGTTGCTGGGAACCAAGTGGCAAGAGGATGAGTGAGGGACCAAATTAACCCTTGCCACCGCCTTTTATCCTGTAGTCATCTGTAGCCTGAAATCTGAAGATATCTCAGGTGCAGGCTACAAAAGTAGTCACTGCTTGTTTGATCTAGCACCTTGATTAGCCTTTATGGTTTTTGCTGAAGACAAAGAATTCTTGTCTAGGTTCTTTGTGTAGTTGGATTAACATGTGCTTTAAAATTATATTTTATAGGGTAAATGAAAACTTGCATTTATATGGATATTCAACTCATTTGTAAGTGTTAAAGGTCATATTGACCAAGGCTCAAGAGAGGAAACCCAGTGTTTAACAAAAGCATTCAAGATTCTAAAGAGAGGTGTCCCAACAATTCTAAAAGAAATGTCTGCACTTTAGGTGTCTTGTAGCCCCCTCATTACACTGAGATATTTAAGAATTACCAAATGCCAGTTGAGTAACTAAATTTATGGTCCCAATGGAGCTGCTGGTAGGGGCATTTCACTTTGGGGGACAGCGGTCACTAGGGTTCATGTCACCGATGCTTTCCAAATGAAAACGTAAAATGGAAAAGAAAAGCCCAGATTTTTAAAAAATACCTTTTCAAATTTACCTCTAATCAATGGATCTGCCTGTACACTGTTCTGAAGCTAAGCAGATAAAGATGAAGTCCAGAAATGAAATGTCCATATGTTCTGCTAGAATGGTTTGCATTACACTGTGGGGTGGGAAGTGACTTTCTAAGGCAAGCAGTGTTATAAGAAATACATACGTGCTGCAGCGGTCCACTCCTGTCAAACAGCCTGGGTCTGCAGGCAGGTTTTATTTACATTCGTCTTAGGTATTTCAAGTCTCAGGAAATTTAGTCTTGGTCCAAAACACTGGGGGAAAAAAAGAACACCATGCAATATGTAGGTAGTATTTGAATCATTTAAAGTAGCAGCATGGAATACACCCAACCGAGAAGTCAGAGGGCAAAGGAGAAGCCCACAGAATCCATTTCCCTCTGGAAAATGAAAGCATCAAGTTCTACCTGATGCTAAAAAGAGGGCCTTAAAGTGCTTGTCCGTGGGTGTCTGTGTGGATGTGTTGAGGGCATGGTTGTTACTTGAAGGTTCATATACATCACTGTGTGGACCAAGCATAGCACGAGACCTGCTTCCAGCCCTACCGAGTGGGAAAAGAAAGAAACATGATTTCCAGTCCTTGGCTCTACCCCAATCTCAACCCCCAAACTGCTAGGGATTCAAAAATGAGTAAGAGGTAAGGGATAAGAGAACAAGAGGCAACTACTCAATAACGTGCATGCCAACTGTGTAGATATACAGAACTACATATGTGTGAATATATCTCCCACCTTACATACACACACATACCGCAATGACATGGCATAAAAAAATAGATATTGTGTATGGAACTTGATAATGTCAGTTAGGACCCCAAGCAGTAATCATAGCCTTATTTCCACTTTTTGTGTTGTGTATACATTGAATGGCTCATAAGATTTTGAGAGATTTTTTTAAAATGTATTTCTTCTACTAAATGCGCTTATCCTTCTACATGTTTATATATTTTGGTAAAATTGGTTTATTAGAGACTTGGTGTTTAGTAAGATAAAATTTCCTCAAATGTTTGGTTAATGCTTTGATGTCAAGATTGCACATTGCTGAGTTCAAACTCAGAAGTTTATGCAGCTTTGGGCATTTCAACTGCGAACTGCAGTTTCCTTGGCTAAAAATTGCACTGTGTGTTCTTGTGCATTCGCTCATGCTCTAATATGACATATTTGGTAGCTGTGATGCGTAAGCCACTAACTACTGGCTCTCTGATGGCAGTGTTGCCATCACATGACCATTTATTTTCTTCTTTTGTGGAGTGATGGCATGGTTAGGTCATTGCCAAATGTCACACAAGTGGATGTGAGTGTGAGTATGTTGTTGGAAGGTGTACATGTCTATTTTTTCAGCATTTTAATCACACATCCAGGTTTTCTGTTAAGGATTTAATCTTCGATCCATGAAAGAACAATTGGCCAAAAATAACTAAATTACCTTAAAAAGTGGAAATGAAGAGGCTAGATAACACCTCCAACAACATCAGATTTAGTTAGTGCTTAGTGAAGTCCCTTAAATATTTATGTATATGTTTTCCTTAATATTATTTATGGTCATCACTACTGCTTTTATATTTTTTTAATGGTGTTGCAATTAAACCACTAGTACACCTGCTACATATTACTAACAAAATATGGCCAGCTGAAAAATGAAAAAAGAAAGAGAATGAATTCTGTTCCATTGTAAGAAGTTGATTTATTTTAATCTTTATTTATATAAAGGAAAAAAGTTGTTCGAAAATAATTTTAAGTCCAATAAATATGGATAGCATGTTATCTGAAACTTTTAATTTGTACATTTTGGTGTCTGATCATTTGCATGTAAGAGACAATAGTGCCACATCTGAATTGTTCTCTTGTGCTTGGTTAATATGTATTTCTCTAGATTGTTCCATTTCAAACATTTCTTACTCTTTGGTTTTCAGAGGCATTCAAAGCAAAATATCCTTTGTTTTCTGACCAATCTAAAAACACCTGTGATTAAATTTAATTTGTTAGTGTAAATAAATTTCTTGCCAATGAGTATTATTGTTGTTAGACAACGAATGCAATAAAAAGAAATACTGAGATCTGTTGGAGTAATTTTTTTCCTCTTCCATTTTCACCTTCAACTAAAACAAGCCTTGACTGGGTAAGCCTGTATTAACTGTCAAAATATATCTATCAATCAAGAGCAAAGTGCACATTTTCCATGGAAATGAAACTAAAAATAAATTTTAGCCCTTATAAAGTGTAAATTGGCAGCTAGAATTACAGTTGGAAGCACAATTGTGGAACTGGGCATAAGATTAAAAGATCAAAGATTCCACGAGCAGCTAAGCTTCCTCGCCCATCTTTCCGTTCCCATTGCAGCTTCACAACCATAGTTTCTGATACTTATCAGCCAAGAAAAAACTCTGAAACAAATCCATTCAGCAGTGGACCTCACACAGTGTGGAGCAAGCTAGGAGGCCATGGCAGAGTATGGGATTCCCTTCAATAGTTTTATTTCTAAAACCTTAAATGTTCACAAGACTCGAATATAGCAAATGAGGGATGTTAAATGAAGATAGGTAACCTTTTCATATGGCTTTTATAAGAAAATGGTAAAGTCATCTTTTTTTTTTTCTGAGTCACATCCCTCAGAAGATAGCCAAAGATTGTTGACTTCTTCTATTTTTTGTTTACTTTTCTATCATTATCTTCTTAGCCTCCACAGCTAGTTAGAATAGAAAAAGAACCACCACCACCATCACCTCTACAGCAATGTTGTCTTTGGAGGCACTTAGCTTTACTGGAATCAGTTTTGGGCATCATTTTCTATCCAATCACTTAAGTGAACAAACTTCTTCCTTTTACCAGGTCAAAGGAACACACAATTTGTGCTGAGGTAACAGACACATAATTTTCAGGTGTGACAACATTCTCAAGGATTTTAAGATGTTTGTACACGTCATTTGCTAGAGGAGAACTGAATAAGCAAGAGTAAAAGGAGAGTTGGGGTATTAAGTTTATATTTACCGAGAAAGTCATATATAGAAGGGGAAACATGAAGTCTGACTATGCGTATGTCTAATGGCTTCGCTTAAGGAGCAGTGCCTAAAGTTGTGCACTCTATTTTCCGGGCACATGAATTGGAGTCTGAGTGAGTACTGGAGTTCTGATGACCCGTGAGGTCATCCTGCTCTCTTGTTTTCTGAACAAGACAAGGCAAGGCAACCATAAGCTCACATGTGCTCAGGGAACACGTTTCAGGGAAAGTACTTTTGGGGTCATATACTGTTACATTACTTAATACCTGACAAGTGACATGACAATTTCATTCATTTCATCAGAAAGGACTTTATTGGTAAATTAGGTTTTCAAGTATTCCAAGACTGATTTGATATCATCCTCTCGAAAAAGATTTACATATTGTATCTGTTCCCAGTTAAACAGCGCTTTCATCCCTCATGATGTGCTGATTTAAGGTCAGCATTCATTGTTCAGATGAGATCACTGTGACCCATTCAGTGTGGCAAGCAGTTAAGTGATGGGCTCACCATGGCATGGGTGCAAATCGGCCTGTTAGAGTTTACAATAAAGAGCTTTATGGAACACAGTGCCAATCAGCAATTTCCCTTTGTACTGAGAGGCAACTGTACTTCCTTGCAACACTGTTCCATTTTCTGCATAAACCAGTGTGACTTTGGGTTCTTCTGTTAAAATATTCTCGATTCGGAGCACCTATCAAAGAAATAACATTAGGTTAATTTTTTTTTTTAAGTCATTTAAAATATAACTTTAAACGTGCAGTCATTTCTCCATAAGAAGCAACCTTCAGGTAAATCGTGTTTTGTTCCAAAATGACTATAAGACACCTGTTTCCTCACTGGCGTAATGACAGGTTTTGATCAGGTGATCTTAAGCAGTGGTGGTGACACATAGGCCTACAGAGGCGAGGCAAGAAATATAAATGAGTAGCACAGTCTGGGTGGGAGATTAGAGAGCAGTAGGGACTATGGGGGGGGGGGCTGTTACTCAGTAATAGTCAATTTATTTCCATGGTGAAATTCAGGATAGTTTTCATGTATTTTCAGATAAACTAAGAATTTGGATGTTTGTGTTTAATTCTTGTTTTTAAATGTGTCAATCAAAAGAAAAGTATGGCCTCAAAAAGAACTTATCTCTGTACCACACTCAACCATTCTGCTGAACTTATGGTTCCAACTCTTAGTATATAAAATTTTATAATTTCAGTTTTCATCATTTAGTTGAGCAGAAATACGATTGTATCATTAACAACAGTGTAGTAGTATGTTAGGCTGGCTAATAGCCAATATTTAACTATTTTGGCTGATAAAATGGCAATTTCACGTGATTCATCCTACTATAAAGAGCACACTGTAAGTGTGGAATCCAGGGTCATGGTTCAGAGCTTCTATTTACCATTTGTTTCTCATCTGTAGAACGAGATGAGTGAGACTAGATTAAGTTCCCTTTTAACTTTAACTTTCTATTCTTCTTAAGCTTTAGAATAAAATATAATGACTTAAAGAAAGGATACCTACATATGAAAACACCAAATATTGCAGACTAGGAAGGCCAGTGCCTGGATATTAAAGGGTTAGTGGGAGCATTTAAAATGAACTTTTTAAAACAACTGGCACCAAAGACAGATGTTTTGAAAATTGTCATAGCTTTAAAATGTAGCAGTTTCTTAACGGGAAATAGTTGATGGTGAATCTTAAGTAAATGAACCTCTTTTAATAAAACTAAATAACTCTTCCATAGAGCGGTGCATTAGATAATGGACTTTTTGCTATTCTTTACCAGATCCATCATCACAAGATTTTTTCCAGAACAGCCAACCAAGTCCATGCTATAGCAAATGACTCACATTCACCAAGTGAGCTAAACAAGCAAAAACAAATTAGAATCTAACATTATTCTGGGTTCCAAACAGTGAACACACCATGGACTACATTTCTTCAATTCTATTAAACATACCATATAGCATTCCTAACAGCTAAGAACTAGCAAAAGCCACGAAAGATTGCCATTCACCATAATCGCAATTATCCTAAAATTAAAGATATGAAATGCCATGATGTAATTGGAAATACACATTTGGCGGTTCTTTTTTTAGGAATATAAAATATTTTTTTTCTGTTTTGGGGCCAGGATGTGTGAGACTGAAAACTAAGCCTTAAAAAGAATACATAGCAGTAGACTATATCAAAAATATCACATATTAGATGTAAATAATGAGCATAATTAATACATACTGAAAACTCAAAAGAGGGAACCCCAGGTAAATCATAGCAAAAGTTCGAATGCCTCGTCAAAGTGAGTTTCGAATTCTTATTTGCACTGCTAAAATAGTTCAATGAGTGAAGACCGTAGACACACATAGGGTCTTCGGGTACTATAGCTAAGATGGAAGAAAAGGTCTTTTAATCCAGAATAATTCCAGCAAGTGATTTATCTTCCTATAAGAAGATTAGGGGATGGCCATTTGTGCTTCAAGACTGGTCCACTGCATTAACTTTTACATATACTGAGACACAGGAAGGGAGAGCTGAATAGGAAGGCAAGTGACAAACAAATGATGAGACCATAGGAATGTGGTATGCATTATATTTTTTAAACTATTATAATTCCCAAGTTAGAGAAATTCAATCTGTAAAGACATGGAGCCCAGTAGTCTAGTGCTGGTTATCCTCACCCAGCCTCCCAGGTCCACTCTCTACTCTGCCCAAGTGTGCACAAAGGCTGACTTTGAGAGCCCCCTTGCTCTCCAGCTCCCGGTTAGGGTGACCAAGCAGCAGTGGGGTTTGGGAGGACTGATGGGGAGGCTAGTTACTTATTCTTCAAGCATCCTCCCTGTGGTTCCCTGATGGTTGGCTACATCCCTCAATCAGAGGCCAGCTTTCTCTCAGAAGACCCTTCTCCACACACAGCTCTTCTTGTTCTGGCTTCTGGTAACCATTTCCTGACCCCTTGCCAGCCCTGGGTTACCGCGTTATCCCCTGTTGATTTCCCGACATTCTGCCCGCACCTTTGTATATAGTGTCCTTATGAAATCTTCTCAATTTAAATGTACCATCTATCTCCTGCCCAAACTGGCTCAAATGCCTCCCAAATTCAAATTCTTTTTTATATCTGATCATTTGGATCATCTATCCATGCCCCACATTTTATTTGCCCATATAATTGAGATTTAAGTCTTCAACTGAAAAACATCTGGCAATAAAGTCTCTGATCTGATTCATTTTTCAAACTAACCTCTGATGGAAGAGGCTTCTTTGCATCATAGTGGAAGATTTTCATGCCATTGGGATGGCATGCAACCCAAAGGTCCCCTGTCACAGGATCCACGGATATGTTATCCACCAGTGTATTTAAGACAATGGACTTCCAAATTAAAAACAAGAAGAAAAGACAGAAAGTTAAAAAAACAAATTGAGAGATGGTAGAGCAATATGTCAGACAAAACTATTGTCTTGTCCCGGTGACCACACTGCTGGTTCCAGAGACACAACAATTCTGCCCATTTTGGTAGCACTCAGGGAATTCCTCTAGCTTTCCACCCATGTGGGTATTTTTTCAGTTTCCACGACAGATGAGGGAAGGAGAAGATACAGAAAGCCAAAAGAAGACTATTAAAAGTTACATGAAATCATTTGAATTAATATCTGTGCATGCACCTAAAACTGAAGGAAAACAAAGTTTTAAGTGCAGCATAAAATAGTTTGTTTTCAAAATGGCACGTGCAAATGATATTTTTATAAGCATTCAGAAAACAACCAGGAAATGTAGATAGATTCATTTCTGATGAGAACAGGCTCTTCTTTAGTGGCTAATCATAGGCTGTGCAGCCAGAGGACAAATGATCACCCAGGGTCTAATTTTTGCCTTGGATTGGGAAGAAGTTTCTTCTTTAGTTTCCTGATGTTATTCAATTCCCTGTTCTTCTGCTGTTTATTTTCTAAATATAAGTTGCAAGCATGTGATGACTGCACGAATTGCTGTCGAGGCTTTGTACCAGGATCATAAATAATACCAAGGATTCTTAATTCCACCATTCATCATCTTGGGTGCTCTCTACTGGAGAGAAATCACATCTATTTGCTTACTTCTCACTCTCAGTTGGAGAAGCAGTGTCTACCATGTACCTCAAACAGAGGCCAGCATACCTTGGCGCCTAGAGACCCTGTAATAACTAACTGTGACTCATTGCAAAGGCCAGAACATGGGTGGGGAACTGTAGGGAGCCAATGCTGCCATATGCTTCCTACTCAAAATGAGAGCCATCCCCAACATCCATGAAGGGACTAGACGGCTCAAGCACTGTGACAGAGCCTCCTTTTCATCTTTGTGAGGAGCTATCAGTCCTTCTTACCCTGGAGACAGGCAAGGCTGGCCAAAGAAAGTGGCTGGCCAAGCACGCTCTGTTCAAAATCAGCTCCAGGCCTTCTCTACCCACCAAGCCCGCATCTATGACAGTGTCAGACGTTCTACTCTGATACGATAATTTCTTTAGGTGAGGGAAATGTTTGTTTCGGGGCTCTACTATTATCACTGGAAGAGATAATAGCCAACTGGTGAATTCTCTGGCAGGTGAGATCCAGCAGAGATGAGAGTTGGGGTGAGAGTGGGATAAGGACACAGAAGCCGGGGGTCCCATTCGTTCACTCTGCAACTCCTGAGCTCCTACCATGTGCTCTGCAAGGAGCACAGCAGCTGGAGGGAACGCAGTAAGCAGCAGACCCGGTTCCTGCCAAGGAAATGCTGATGGCTCAGCCGGGAGCCTGGGCTGGGCTCTTGCCATGCAAATCTGTAATTCCTAGCAATTCCAACTCACCGCAATGCACACACATGCCACGTTTCACACTTCCACAAAGCCTACTGGAAAATTTTACGTTCTTGGTCAAGGAGACTTCATAAATTATTCTCTTTGGGAAAAACTCTGTTAATAAATATCTCAAGTTTTAGAGAACTGAAACTCACTGAAGTGGGACTAATTCATTGGCCGTCTTGGATTTTTTTTTTTGGTGGGGGGGAAGGGGCGGAATATATTATTCTTATTGTGATAAAATACACATAATATGAAATTTGTCAATTTAACCAATTTTAAGTGTACAATTCAGTGGCACTAAGTACATTCACAATGTTAAAAAAACATCAGCACTATCCATTTCCAGAACCTTTGGTCATCTCAAACAGAAACTCTGCCCAATAGCTCCCCATTCCTCCCTCCCCCAGCCCCTGGTAACCTCTGTTCCACTTTCTGTCTGTGGATTTGCCTATTCTATGTACCTCATATATGTGGAATGCTATGATATTTGTCCCGTTGTGCCTAGCTTATTTCACTTAGTGTAATGTCTTCAAGGAGGCTTATCTGTGTTGTAGCATTATTAGTACTTCATCCCTTTTTAAGGCTGAATGATATTCCATCGTATGTATAGACCATACTTTGACAGAACATAAATCCCTACACATCTCATCGAAAATTTTAAGGTCCGTCTGAGTTCATCACATTTCTTGGCACTCCAGATATTAATTAACTGACTTAGTTAATATGATTCTTCAAAAGGAGGAATAACATTACAGTCATGGAGGTAGTCTAAACTGAGTTATGTCAGGAGATAGACATGATCTGATGCCAAAAGTGGGAGCCAAACCTGAAATCAGCCTTATCCTCAATCTCACCTTGGCAGGAGCAGCGCTTCAGTATTTGTGTTTTGAATGTATTTTGGATTGGGTTCTGTCCTTACAAAATTCTTTACCTTTCAATTTACAGAAGTATATATTGCTATCACCATAGCTTGTTTTTATACTCTCAGCCAGTATGAGTGTGGAAATTCCATTTTACCTCAGCTAATACCAAACTGTCTCTGCCAATGATTTTTAATGTCAAACGTAATGTTACATTTGATGTTGCTTCAAGGTAATTTTCTCAGAGGGAAGCCCCTGGTGACAGTACCTAGGATATGCTGACGGGAACAGTCATCCAGTGCCTGGTGAAAGGATTTCATGCTGTTGGCGGTTACGGCAATGTCTTGTTGTTTTTTGAGCAGGGGGCTACTTTCATGATTCAGCTCACTCTTGCTTTCTCTTTCCTCTCTTTCGTGTTTTTATTTTGACCCAAACCTTCAATCCGGATCAGAATTGGTAAGAGTAGGAGAGGAACCCCTGAAGCGTACCTAGCTTCATCATATTAATTTCACAAGTATTTGTTGAGTGCCTTCTAGGTTTTGGAAACTCTTGTGAAGTTTACACCCTAGTGGGAGGGGCAGACAATAGAGAAGATAAATAAAATATATAGTATGTTAGTAATAAACGCTAAAGGGAAAATAAAACTGTGGGGGCAGGGAGAGCAGAGTTGCAAGTGTAGATTAGGTAGCCAGGAGAGGCCTCGCTGAGGTGACATTTTAGTAAAATCTGAAAGGATATGAAGTGACAGCCATGGAGATCTGGTGAAAGATTACCTGAGCAGAGGGAACAGTGCCCCATCCTGACACAGGGTGGTGCCAGACAAATTCCAGGAATATGCAGGCAGGAGAGGCTGAGTAGAGGGGCAAGGGCTCGAGATAAAATGATGGGCTGCCAGGGCACACAGTGGCCGTCATGAGGACTTAGGCTTTATAAACAGTGGAGAACATTGTCATGTTGAATACAAGTCGAGGCTATTTCTTGGCTGTTCCATCAACACAGAGGGAAAAATGGGGAAGAGAGGAAGAGAAAGAGAGGGAGAGAGAGAAGAAAGGAAGGGTGGGAGGGAGAGGGGAAAGAAATGAGCAGGGAAAGGAAGAAGGAGGGGAGAGAAGGAGAGAGGAAGGGTAGAAGGAGAGAGGAAGTGAAAGGAAGGGAAGGAAGGAAGGAAGGAAAGAAGGAAGGAAGGAAGGAAGGTTATGCAGAGAATTGCTCAAAGAATGATAAAAAAAGGAAAAAAGAGAGGATGGAAGGAGAGAGAGAAGGAAGGAAGGAAGGAAGGAAGGAAGAGAGGAAGGAAGGAAGGAAGGAAGGAACGAACGAACGAACGAACGAACGAACGAAGGAAGAGAGGAAGGAAGGAAGGAACGAAGAAAGGAACAAAGGAAGGAAGAGAGGAAGGGAAATCTAGGAACACAATGCCAAGTTTAAAATTCACTAGAGCAGAATCAAAGTTTCTTGGTGAGATGTGTGGTCTGCTGCTTGCCACTCCACAGCTGAGTATAAGTGAACAACAAACACATACGATGATGATGATTCTTCATAAAGGAGTGAAAAATTGGTTCTCACCCACTCCAATTAGACAAGTCTTTTCTCCTCACTTTTAATTTCACAAATCAATTAGAACCTAATTATCACTCTGTAAACTTATAGTGTTAATCCGTCTTACCTTCAATAAAGTTAAAGTCCAATTAGCATGCTTTTCATACACTCTAATCTTATGACTCAGCGTCTCAGCTATATAGATGTACCTTCAAAGAAAAAAGAGCTACATCAAAGCACTTGAAGTGATGTGATTCAAAAGTTGACAGTAAAGTTGTAATAACTCTTTCTAGGGAAGAACTTTGCTTAGAGACTGAAAAATAGAACCCATCTCCTTTTCCAAAGAACTTAAAATTCTGAAAGAACTAGTGAGTTTACAGTGCACAAAGGAATTTTAATCATGAAGTTATTTCTAAAGAACCTAGCTGGCCCTGATCAGCAGGGAAGGAACTTAGCCCTAACATCAACTTTTACTAACCAGGAGCAAAATGCATTACAGTGATTCTCTTAGTTTGTCAATACAGTGGCAAGCCCCAGGTTCTGCATTTCAGAAGATAGTGAGTTCTCTTGAGCAGGCTGCAGGAAAGCTCTTTTAACAATCAGCTCCTTGTTTTAAGCCAGAGGAAGTGTGAGAGAATATAAGATGCTTAGCCTGGGTCTAAGTGATGCCTTCCTCCTTTCTTTCCTGACCCTGTGGATTTAGTATTTTGCACAAAGTACAAGGCCATGCCCATCATAAAGACCTGCGGTCAGGAGAAATGACTCCTTGATTATCTTCTATTTTTGAAGACTGGGGATGATAAGAATAATTGAAAGCTGTCCAAGTGTCTTGCCCTAAATGTTACTAACCCTCTGGAATCTGTGGTGATGAAAGATGAGGAAGGGTATAGATGGATGAAGACATAGATTTTGTATATATAACAATGTTGACCAAAGTATGGTCACCAGAATAATGCTGGTCTGTCAATCGTTTGTTTCGGGGTGACCACCAGATAGTAAAGTAAATCAACTACATCACTAAGCACATTACTTAGTTAAGTTGACTTTTTCCCCCATTGTAACACCTTTTTGATGAAGAAAGCAGTGCTTTGATTTATATTTTGGTGCAAGCTTTTTATCTTGTCATAAACCAGCACTACTGATATAAACCCACATACAAAAAATCTCATTATACACTAAAAAAATCTTCTCTCAAAGCAAAGCTATTTAGTAATTAAATGCTTATCACAGTATTATTCAGTAATACTAAATGCTTATTCACCCTCTTGAAATGTACTTTTCCCTCAAAAAATAGAAATTTAAAAATATGTCTTCACAAAATAGAACATTCTTATTCGATAAATTTTACCCCTTGAAAAATTAAGATATTTTACATCTTTCCTAATTTCTTTTTACTAGGATAATATGTTAAAATATACCACATTATTTAGAAGGGAATATGTTCTAAAAAATATCTAATGAGAATCTGGGAAAATGCGTGACATTTTTAAAAAGTTTCCATACTTGCCGTCGGGTGAAAGGTTGATTCCATTAGCAAAATCGAATCCATCTGCCACCACTTTGACTTCATTTGGGCTATAGTAAACAATATATGACCACGCTAAACCCAAATACCTTTCCCAGAATTTCAGGTAGGGGTTGACAAAATAGTGATCATTTGTGGCATAAAAGTGCTCAGGTCCCACAGCAACAATATCATTCAAACTGCAATTCAAACACACATATATGATATATACAGTTATATATGATGTATATATATATACAGCTATATAAAGATGAAGATATTGTGCATTCCAGGATTATGTCTTGGCATTCATTAATATTTATTCCTAAAATCAATATGTGAGATGGAGCCTTCACTCTAGCCTAACTCTTATGGCAGAGAATTAATATGTAATCAGTCCCACCTATACAATCTTCAAAGACAATAATTACTTTCAGAAACCCTAAGCAGTTATTATAGCAATATAACATAAAAGTCTATTAACTGTGTCTTAAAAATAGTGCTATGGTTTGTGTGCGTGCACACACGTGTGTGTGTGTGTGTGTGTGTGTGTGTGAGTGCACGCGCACGCACGCACATGCACACAGATATACTACATTCAGTAGCATCAAAGTAGGCCAGGAATCATTATCAAGGCAAAATTTACTTATGCTCACATAGCACTTACTCTCATATAGAACAGCCCCAGGCATTATTAGGTAGTGGAAAAAATGCCTGCAACTTGTATTGTAGTTAAAGCTCTGCTACTATTAGCTGTCCGATTTATGAAAAAGCCAATCATTTCACACGTTTCCTTATCTGTAAAAGGAGATGAGATGAACTGGTCTATCTTTCAGCTTTAGAGTCACTTCCAGCCTTAAAGTTTTATGATTCTAAACTGAGTAAACTGTCCATGAACAAGAACGCCCAGAAATAGGGTGCTTTGGCTTTTTTCTTTTTGATTTTGATTCTCTCTCTGTTATTGAAAATCTAAGATATATGAGTCTATTTTTCTGCTTTAATAGGTACAACAGCGAACACATAAGTGAGTCATTCTTTGCTGATTGAGGTGACAGAAGTTCCCTGGGGCCATTATCTAGGAGAGAATTATCTCTGCTCTATTGTGGAGGGCATAATGGCCTGCAGATCAGCTCTGACACTGCTCTGGGCTCCTGGGCAAGTTAGATAAGCGTGCAAAGCCTCAGTTTTCTCATCTGTAAAGAAAGGTTAAATGATTCTCCCAAAGTCATACAGCTCTTTAGTATAAGACTAAGGATCAGAATCTTAATTTGTGGAGTTGCAATGGAAATTACAATGCCTGTTGTGTGCTTTGCAGGGACCCTGCCACAGCCCAAACCGTCAATCAACGGTAGCTACTATAGCTACATGAGAAAGAAGGTCTCAGGATTTATGATTAGTCTGCACAGGCTCCAGGCATAAAACTGCAACCTGGGGTTTTCCCCCCTCTCTTTTTAAAAAGCAAATTTCTGAAATTAGTGTGCTTTACAATCATTTCCTGTTTTTCATACAAAGGAGCAGAGCAGAATGGTTTAGAGTAATAGCTTGGAAACCTGATGGACTCCATTTGAATCCTGACATTGCTGGCTATTGTCTGTGGGGCTACATTATGTCACTAAACTCTGAACTTCAGTTTTCTCTCTATACTCTGAAAGGCTGGGGTAAGAATAAAATGAAATAATGAATGTAAAAACCCTGGCACCATGCCTGACACATAGTAAATGACCAATAATAACCATTATGTTACTAATAATAAGATGCTTAAACTATAATAGATTAGTAATTCAAATATAAATGCTAGAAACGATATAAACAACCATCACAGACAAGCAGAAAATACACATGGCTAATTCTTGGGTTGAGAGAGCAGAATTTTAGTTAATATGATTACTTTCAGTTTGGTTCCACATTGCCAAAGACCAATAGTTTTGCAATTGGCCCAGAAAAAAAAATACATTAACCCTAGGAAATTGGACAAGTCTGAGATTTCTAAGATTAGATAGTGAAACAAATAAAATAAGTTTTTACTATTTTATAGTGGCTCAGAGCACCAGTTCCAGACTCAAGCTACATGAATTAAAATTCTAGCTGTACCATTTACTGATAATGTTATCTGGGGTAAGTGAAATACTCCAGGCCTCAATTTTTTTTAATCCAAAATGGTATAATAATACAACATAATTAAGATGATATTTTTTAAAAGTTAATAAAATAATCTGTTTAAATTGGTTATTGCAGCACCTAACTTATAGTTAAAGCTCATTAAGTTTATTATTATTATTATTAGCCCAGCTACTCCATTCTATACACTTTTCCTTGACTTAGATCTTGGCATTTGTCACATTCTCAGTATCCTCATTCTCTTTCCAAAGTATATTTGTGGAATGAATGTATAAGTACACTCTCCCATCAAAAGCTGTTCTGTGAACCTTCGTTTAATTCTTCCTAGGGATACAGAAGATCTGGGCCACAGTTCCTACTCTTAGGTATGTATGTGTTTCTAATTCATAGAAACATGTAAGATTCTGTTTCTTTCGATAGAAAAATAAAAATAAATTAGTAACAAATAAATAAGTTCTAGATGTGGAATTCATCTATGAAACTGGTTTGGGTTTGAAATAATGTCTGTTTTCAGAAAAAAAAAAAGCAGAGGTTTTTTTCTTTGTAAAGGCTCAAAAGGACATTTAAAGGCCACAAGTTCTAAGACAGCGTCCAGCCAGCCTAGAAAATGAGGACCAAAGAGAATGTCTTCTCTGCAGACCTTGAGTCCTCAAAAGTTACTACAGAAGAACATTTGGAGCAGTTTGCAGTCATTACCAAGGAGAGTTGAACAGTCATTATCTCCCCCACTCCCAGTCAGAAGGAAAAACTAAAAGTGGATTAATGATCACCAGTATTAAAGAGAAATAGAAACATGATATATCTCAGTACTTAGGCAGAAGTTTGTGTCTGATGGTTTTCAGGTGCAAAAGTGATTTTTCTTCTTGAAATTTAAACAACTCGACGGTGGACTGCAAATCTGGATGGTTCACCACCATCAAGTACACAGTATTATCTGAGAAGAGATTAAAAACAAAAATTGAAACATTAACTGAGCTCTCAGCTGTCAGCCCTGTCTTCAAAAAGTAATTTCAACCCACCTCCAACTAGTACTTAGGGTGTCAGGCAGATGGAATATTTTCATCTCTTTGTAGAGAGAAGCATTTGTGATTGCTCCAAAGAAAAATGGCTAAAGGAAGAACCAGTGACGGTCTCAAAAAACTCCAGACTCCACAGGGGGAAAACTATCCTCAACTTAAGAATGAGCAGTGCTTGACACTAAAACTCTAAAGAGCTTGTTGATTGCAAATGATATCAGTGAGGTGTGGAGTTGAGATAAAAGAGATAGAAGAGGTGAGAAACACTAATATGAGAAGGTGTGCTCAGGTATAATTTACTAAGTGTATGATGATGAACGCCATTAAAAAACAACAACAACAAAAAAAACCCCACCTGAGTATCAAAGAGAAGATTTCTTGAGTCAGTGTGAGTTTGGGACATGAAGGAGACCAGTCTAAGTGGTGAAGAAGGTGTGATCAGAGTTAGCAAGTGAAATTAGATTATAGTCTTTTCCCTAAGAAGCAGTTAGTCTTTGGAAACCTTGGGCTTGACCAAATTGGTGTTTAAAGAAAAACAATGCAAAGTTAAATAGGTTGAGCTGAAGTTATTTGAGCAGAGAAGCCAGCTAGGAGATTCTCCATTCAACAAACAAGTATTTAATTTATTTTAGTTGGTGTTAAGTGATACGAAGGAAAAAATAAAATAGAATAAAGAAAGGTATAAAGAGTAATAAAATTTTCTTCACGAGAGTCAAGGAAGTTCTCTCTGATATTAAAGCAAAAACCTAAATGAAATAGGAGACCAAACCATGTGAATACCTAGTGAAAAAGCATTCCAGGCTAAGGGAAGAGTGTGTGCAAAGGGCCTGAGGCAGGAGCTCTCTTGGCACATTCACTTAATAGTGATGTTGTAGTGGAGTAGAGTGAGTGACAGAAAGAGTGGAGTGCTGAAGCCATAGAGATAGAGAGCTCATGTCAGTCTTGTTAGGTTTAAGGGTAAGGATCCAGGCTCTACTCATGGGAGATTTCAGTCAAGGAATAACATGACCTGAGGCTACCCAAGTAATCCAGGCATGTGGAGAGAAGAGACTAAACCAGGAAGAAAGGCAGAAAGAGATACGAGAGGCATTTGACATGAAATATCCAAAGCCCCTGATGATGGTTGAAGAATGAGGGAGTCAGAAATCAAGCATAAACAAGGATTAAAACCCAGATTCATGTTTTACACAACAGAGTCTACTTCCTGGAATTTGTCCTAAGGAAATATTCACAGGATAAATATGTACAAGAATGTTTATTTTAGCATTCATTGTTTGCAATAAGCATAAAGGTGGAAATAGACTGAATCAACAGATAAACTATATTATAGTACTCCCATATGGACAAATCCTAGACAACCATTGAAAAGTAGTTCTAAATGCACTGTCACAAAAAGGAGTCTATGATGTAGTGTTTAATCCAAAAGCAACTTATTTTCTGTAATATTTATGTAGCATTTCCCCATTTTTATGTAAAAGAATATATACACACTCAACAATATATTTCTTTGCACTTAAAAATATTTTTAAAAGAAAATGTAATGTTGCTAAATGCATAAAGAGATTATTGAAAAGGAAAAATATATCCTATATTATATATAAAAGAAGGGAAGTTATGTGGGGTAGAAGAGAAAATAAAAGGATGGAAAATCAGTTTTCGATAGTTTGAGTATAAAGTAGTTATAGGAGAAGAACCCAATGGAAGTATCTGGAAACCTAAAAGAATAGAACTGAAGAGCTGATTTAAAAAAAAAAAAAAAACCATCGGGGGGTGTTCTAGAAAATAGGCACAGTTCTCGTTGTGACATGTTTGAACTTTCTGAAATGAAGGAAAAAAGTGGGAAGCAAAAGACTAGTCCTTTGTGGAATGCTCAGAGATTTTTGAAATGTGTGACAAAACAATGAGCAGGAGAGAAAACCCACAGTAGGATCAGAACTAGGATAGATAAGTGTATTGGAATAACAGGGAGGAAGAGCAATTCA